CCCACAGGGCTATAAAACCATGCATAGCCTTTGACCTAGCAATACCACTACTGGGTCTATAGCCCAAGGGATAAAAAAAAAAAAAAAGAAAAAGGACCTATATGTATAAAAATATTTATGGCAGCTCTTTTCTGGTGGCTAAGAATTGGAAATTGAAGGGATGCCCATCAATTGGGGAATGGCTAAATAAATTGTGGTGTGATTATGATGGAATACTATTGTGCTCTAAGAAATTATGAGGAGGCTCTCAGAAAAACACAGAAAGACTTACATAAACTGATGTAAAGTGAATCGTACTGTGTACAAAGTAACAGCAATATTGTTCGATGATCAGCTGTGAATGACTTAGCTATTCTCAGCAATACAATGATCCAAGCCAGCTCTGAAGGACTTACCATGAAAAATGCTATGCCTCGCCAGAGAAAGAAATGATGATGCCTGAATGCAGATTGAAGCATACTTTTTCTTTTTTACTTTATTTTTCTTTAGGGTTTGGTTTTATTTTTGTTTTGGTCCATGTTTTCTTTCACAACATGACAGTATGGATATGTTTTGCGTGACTACACATGTATAAACTATATTGAATTACTTGCCTTCTCAATGAGGAGGGGTGGGGAGGGAGGAAGGGAGAGAACTTAGAACTCAAAAAGTTTTAAAGACAAATATTAAAGCCGTTTTTGACATGTAACTGGGGAAAAATAAGATACTAATTAAAAAATGCAGACAATAAAAAAAAACCTTTACAATTCCACAGAATCAAAACTTTCCACTGTCTTCTGTGATCCTCTCTGTCCCTTGTCTGGTTGTGAATTGGTCACAAACTCTGTAGTCATTAAAGGTATTTTCTTCCTTGCTCCTGGGGCTGAGAAGCGAAAGGCAATTTAAGCATCTACTGTCTGTGTGCCAGGCATTGCGCTAAGTGCTTTATAAATATCATCTCATTTGATCCTCACAAAAATCCTGTGAGGTAGGTGGTATTATCCCCATGTTACAGGAGATGGAACTGTGGCAGATGTTAAGGGACTTGCCCAGGGTCATACAGTGTGTACTTGTTTGAGGCTGGATTTGAATTCTGGTCCAGGCCCAGTACTCTATCCACTGTGACACCTAATTGCCTCTACTAATGATAAAAATAATAATATAATGCCTCCTCTAATTTATTTCTATGACCTTTTATATCTAAATCATGAATCCATTTTGAATTTATTAAGGCAGGTAGGTGGAACAGTGATAAGAGCATTAGGGCCTGAAGTGAGAAGACCCGAGTTTGAATCCTGCCCTCAGATACAGATGAACTGTATGACCCTGGGAATGTCACTTAACTTCTCTCAGCCTCGGTTTTCTCATTTATAAAGTGGGGAATAATAACGGCACTATTTTCTAGGGTTGTTGTGAGGATCAAATAAATAATACATGTAAAGCACTTCACTACATAAATGCTAGTTGTTATTACTGCGATATGGAGGAGGAAGGGAGAGAGTTTGGAACTTAAAGTTTTTAAAACACATGTTAAAAATTGTTTTTACAGTTAAGTGGGGAAAAAATAAAATAAAATACCAAATATTACTGTGGCATGTGGTGGGAGATCTTGGCCTACACCGCATTTCTGTGATTAGCTTCTGTATGCAGTATACCTAATCTGTTCTATTGATTGACTTTTCTATTTTTTTTTTAGCCAGGACTAAACTGTTTGGATGATTATTTCTTTGTAGTATTGCTTGAAATCTGGTACTGCTAAACCTCTTTTCTTCCCACTTTTTCCCATTATTTCTCCAGTATATTTTTAAGGCAAACATTTGATGAACATTATTTTTATTCACCAAACTAAAGAAATTAAAACTTAACTAAACTTAATTTTAAAAGATTAACAACTAAACTTTGCTTTAAAAACATAAACTTGAAAAGCGAGACAAAATATCAAAATTTTTTGAGCCATCAGTGTGTGCCTGGGCAAACCTGGCACACCTAGGACATATACCCTTTGAAGGCAGACATGAGTTGTTGCATCCACATCTGGTGAAGAGGATTTCCACACTGGGAGTTTGAACAACAACAAAAGGTTTCCAAAGCTGGAAAACAAATGAACTGGTTACAGGAATTCAGGTCCTTGCTCAAAGCCAGAAGCACTTACATCATTGTACTTACTTGGTCTGGTCATAAGTTCATATATTTGGAATTGGGAGGGACCATTGAAGTCCTTTCTTTCGAGGCAGTTTCAATGGTTAGATTTGTTTCTATTTTTTTTTTTCAATTCAATTCAACAATTATTGAACATCTCTACATGCAAAAGCAGTGTGCTAAGTCCTGGGAGGGACAAAAACAAAAATGAAAGATTCTGACCTCAAGGAGTTTCCATTCTATTCTGCAGACATATGCACACGGATAGGTAAATACAAAGCACAGAAAGAATTAAGTAATTTCAAGAGGAAGAAAGAGAGAACACAAGTGCTGAGATTGGGGGAGATGGGGCAAAGAGTGTCAGAAAAGGTCTTCTTTCACCGATGCCTTTTATTTTATGGGCAGGGCAGTGGCAAAGTAGAAAAGAGCACTGCACCTATAGTCAGGAAGATCCGAGTTCAAATCCTGCCTCAGAGACTTACAAACTGTGTGACCCTAGGCAAGTCACTTGACCTTTGTCTGCTTCAGTTTCTTCCCTGTAAAATGGAGATCTTAATAGCATCTACCTCCCAGGGCTGTTGTGAGGATAAAATATTTGTAAAACACTACATAAATGCTAGCTATTACTGTTATTTTTGCACCAGTTATTTCCACATTCTCCTTCACTGAACTTTTTCTTATAACAAAGAAAAACAAGAAAATCTACCAACAAACCTACTACACTGGCTGTAATCTCTTGCCTCACTGCCAAGAGGAAATACATTTTATCATCTGTGCTCTGAAGATCGAGTGTTTCAGTTACGGTATTCTAGTTATTTTATTTTCTCTTGCTTCTTTCTTCATCCTGCAGCACCTCCTCCATGTCTTCCAACGTTTCTCTGAATTTCTCCTATCAAAGCATGATAGTTTTCCATTACATTCCCAGACAGCAATTTGTTCAGCCATTTCCCCAGTCGACGGGTAACCATTTGGTGTCTAGATTTTTGCTATTGCTTCTATTTTCACTCCCGTATGTGGGTGACAGTCTAAGCTCTCGCCTAGAAAAGTACCCCCTTCCCCAGTCTATCTCTGTTGAAATCTTTCCTTTCCTTCAAGGCCCAATTCAAGTCCCACCCCCTCTATCAAGCCTTCCTGATTCGCTAGTTGGAAATGATCATATCCTCCTCAGGCTCCTCACAGCACTTTGTATGGACCACTTCTTTGTACCAACTTAACTTGCATTATACTGGCACGGTTACTACTGTGCTAGATTATAAGCCTCTTCAGGGCAGGGATGCTTATTTCTTCATTGCATCCTCAGCCCTTTGCACAGTGCCCCGTACACAGTGATTAATACTTGTTGAATTAAATACTCATGTTGATGATACATTGAGCTCACAATCTCTCAACCTTCAACTCCTAGCTTTGTTTCACAGCCACCCCCCAGCAGAATTCAATCCAATTTAGTAAGCATTTAGTAACTTCATTTTACTTGTAAGGCACTATGCTAGGCACTGAGGATACAAAGCCAAATAACAGGCCCTGCCCCCAAGGAGCTTACATTCTACTGAGGGGGGGAATAGATAATAAAATATACACAGAAAAGTAAATACAAAGGACATACAAAAGATACAAAGGAAAAAAAAACTTTGGTGGAGAACACTGAACCGGAGAGATTGAGAAAAACCTGGTGGAGGTAACATCCAAGGAGGGGAAATGTGCCTCCAGCATGGCGCCAGGAGGTGGAATGTCACGTGCCAGGGCAGGCTAGCAGGCCAGCCTGGCTGAAAAAGAGCTCGTGGGGTGAGGAGTAACAGGGAACAAATTTGAAAATACAGGCTGGAGCCAAATTGGGAAGGGATTTAAATGCCAAACAGAAGAATTCCTATTTTATTCTAGAGGCATGAGGAGCTGCTGCTGCAGCTTCAAGAACAAGGGAGCAACACAGTTGGACCTGTGCTTGAGGAATGTCAATTTGGCAGCTGTGCATCAGGTAGCTTGGAAAGGGGATGATGGACTAGAGGCAGGACAACCAGCTAAGAAGGAAACTATTACAATCATATGATGGAGCAGTGACGAGGGCTTGAACCAGGGTGGTGGCTACGGGAGAAGGGAGAAACAGACCAGATGCAAGAGACGTGGAGGCAGAATCAATAAGACTTGGCAACTGATTGGGAACAGGGAGTGAAGAGTCAAGAATGACTGCAAACCTGGGCGGTGGAAGGATGGTGGTGTCCTCAACAGAAACAGGGAAGGTATTTTTTTGATGATGAGTCTGAGTTGCCTATGGGACATCCAGTTGGAAATGTTCCAGTAGGCAGTTGAAGATTCAAAGCCGCACCTTAGAACTCTCCTGGGAAGTGCTCCATCTCCAAGATATTGAACTCTGAAATTCCCCTCCCGCTAATCTCTCACTGCTCCTGCTGTTCCCCAATTCTGCCTTCTCTTCCCTGTGCCCCTCCCTATTCTTTCAGTTCATCACCAGTGTTCTGGCTTCACTAGCCTCCCTACCCATTCTTGACCTCCTGGTCAATCATTTCAACAATGTACTTTTTATCCACCCTTGAAACTCTCATCCTCTTGACCTTCCTCTCTCTTCTCATACACCACAGAAAACCTTTGCCTGGCCTGCTCCAGGCAGAGCCGATAAGCCCTGCTAGAGAATAATGAAAGCATGTTGATTGAATCTATCCTACACCCATGCCACTGGAATTTCAGAAGGGGTCTCACTGCCATATCTCTATTCTTGGTCCTAAAAGCCTTCCCCATGCCAACAGCACCAAACTAATAAAAGCCTCCTTCTTTCCCCAACCCTTCTGCTCTTAACAGCAGATGACCTTGCCTATCAGGGCCATCTGATGTCAACTCCCTCAACTTTACTCCTTAGAGCTCTCAAATCTGTCCTTACTCTCTGCTTTCATTAGTCTCCATTTTTAGCAACTCTCTCATTCCATTTCACGCCTTTGATTCCTCCTTATTCTAAACATCATTCCCTGAATTCTGTTATACCCTTAAGCTATTGTCATCCCTTTCACTGGCAAACAGGTACAAAGAGATATCTATTCCTCACACCTCTGCTTCCCTAGAACTTGGCAAGGCATTCCCCCCAACACACTCCTCAGACTCCCCACTCAAGGTCTAAACCTGTAATACCTGACACCATCATTCACTCTCTTGCCTTACCCATCTCCCCTGTTTAGTCTATCTATCCCAATACACCCTTTTCCGTTCATCCTTTCCTTTTCCATCATCACCTCCCTAAATCAGGCTTGGATTCATTGCCTCTTGCTTTCTACACCTTATCAATAGGTTTTTAAGCGGTCTCTGCCTCCAGCTTCTCCTCTCCCCAAAGGACATCACTACCAGAAAATCTTAATGTACAGCTTTGATTATATAACCCCTCTGTTCAAATACCTCTCATACATTTAACCCATATCCTAATGTGGGTTATTCTTATTTGATTTTTTTATCTTTCCCATGAGATTATGAATCCTCTGAGGGCAGAGCCACAGCCTTATTTGTCTCTGTATCCCTGCCAGTGCCTGACACTGCTTATTAAATGTTGAGTTGCGTTTTTGCCGTTTCATCTGTAAAATGGGGGAAGTGGACTAGATGACCTGTATGGCCTTTTCCAGTTCTAAAATTCTGTGATCCTCCTGGGGCCTGGCAAGGTGGGCAGCAGCACAGTTGTCTCTCCAGGGCTAGACCCTTGCCAAGAAGTCAGATAGGAGAAAATCATGTATGTGGGGGAAGTCTGGTAAGGGACAGACACTCCCTCTCTATTTGTTGTCTCTGGTATGTGGGGATGGTGTCTGGATTTCAGATTTTGATCTGGGTCCTTCCTGGGCACATGGAACACATAACTGGAGCCAAATTGGCTTGCAGGGGCTTCTGAATTCCCCAGTGAGTGGAGCCTGAGTCAGATGCTTAATGAAGCCCATAATTCCCTAATGTTCTCAGTGGTGGACACAGGGGAAGACACTGACTCTGTTTTTAGACCTCAATTATAAATACCCATAAGTCATAGGCAACCACATCTACAAGATAGATAGCTACCCATATCTAATGAACTACCAAGAATGCAACTCAAGCTAAGACAGTTGGCAAGGTTTCATGCTCAGTACAAAGCCTGTGAATTGTCCTTGTGGGCAATGCGTTTTTGTATTGCCCCAAACACCAGATAACGGTGGTCTACATATACTTAGCTAGCTTGGAAGGGCAGTTACCATTTACAGTCGCTGGCCTTCATACAAGGTAGCAGCTGAATGATGAGATGAGTCAAGTCACAGCTGAATAGGGGAAGAATGACAGGGAGTCAGAAACCAGGGTCGAGGTGTCGAACAAGGCTCCAGCACTGAATACTGCATAAGACCTGCTTCAGCAAAGTACTCGGGCCTTAAGCAGGGCTCTCTGCATCATGGAAATGATGCTGTTCTTCACAGCGCAGCTTCCTTCGCTTGACACTCAGCCTTCCCCCAAAAGTGCAAAGTTTAGTTACCAGAGAGAAAAATAAAAATAAAAGATTTCCCTTTGGGATTAGGCTGGGAAACCTAGTTTAAAACAGGGAACGGCTCTAGAGGTGGCTGTAGGGCAGAGATAACAAGGGGAGAGGAAGGGTGGGGCGGCTAGGAATTCTCCTATGAGATACTTTTATGTAAACAATGAACAACTACCCCACCATAGCGGAGGTGATTCATCTCCCCGGCTACTTTAAAGCCTGAAAGGCCAGGAGCACACAAGGTACCAAAGGGCTGGGACAGCAATATCAGCAACAGAGAGAATGCCACACCCTTCAACCAGAGCTCTACCAAACCAAGCCCACCTCCCCCAAATTATACTTGACCTGTCAGTAACAACTCTGACTGACAATTAGGAAGCCTAACTTACTGTGAACTTGAGAAGTGCCCAGGGGAGTTTCTACACTTTCCCCACAGGTGGAGAGTGGAGAGAGAGAAAGAGAGGAAAAGAGGGTGGGAAATACTGGGAATAGCTACTTGACAAGGTTCAATGTTCAGGGTATTCAATGGCAAAAGGGTAGTTGGCTTGGTACACGCTCTCTGCTATACTTTCCTCTTTATCCTCAACCCTGCTACTGGAGGTGATACTAGGGTACTAGGTACTAGCTTCAGTTGTGTCTATAGAAAATTCCTTGGCCACTCTTCTCCTTACCAGTGCCTTGGACTCACGAATCCTCTGCACGGATCTCTCCTCCCCGCATATACTACAAGAGCACAAATGCTGCCCCACTCTGTCATCAAAGCCTCCAAGGCAAAACTTCACATTTGCTTAAAGACTGAGTCTGTAGAACAAGAAACTACCTGGGATGCTGGGCTATATTGATATAGCACTTTTAATAGAGCAACAGATGCCAAATTAACATGGCTGAATGCAGTCTGTACTGCCCCGGATCGGCAATAAGGGTCCTTTTGGATGACTAGGCCACAGATTCTCTCACTAGGACTAGAAAGAGAATGTTTTGTGAAAGTTGGCAAGACAGAAACCCATCCCTAGCTGATGGGAAGCTCTTTGGAAAGCCTTAGTCCAGTGACTGCATGGGTTGCCATGTCCAAGGGGGCACTCCACATCTTGGGGTCACAGTCCTGGCAAAGTCCTGGGGTAGCATTTCCTGTCCTTCAACAAGAAGTACGCCCAACCCTGTAGCAGGTCCGTCACTGCTTGGCTTTCTTCACAATGGTGCCCACGGCTGAGATGACGGTGGTCTTGGAGCCACTAGCACTAGTTGTCACAGTGACAACGGCTGGCAGGGTGGCTGTGGTGGTAAGGATGGTAGGCTGGGCTATCGTCGTCACCGGGATAGCAGAATCCCACTTACTCTTCCTCTTCTGAGCATCTAGATGAAAAGCCAAAGAGAAAACGTCTCAACACGTACTACACAAAAACCAATCGTCCCTTTGCTTGCAGGTGACCTGCCCTGTGTGATCCAGAAAGACCTCCCTGTCTTGCTCCAGCCACAGGCTGCGTGCTTCCTTGATGTCCCCCACACTGGTCAGGCTGGGTCACCCCCAGGTGACTCTGTGCCCTCAACAAGCCCCTCTAATTTTCTCTTGGGTGAATCAGGATAGGCAGGGGGCCTCAAGGGAAGACAATGTCTTGGAGAATCCGAGGAAAGCTCCCTGTTACCTGTCGCTGCGGTGCTGGCTGTGGTGGTTGTTGTGGCAGCGGCATTGGTCGTGGTGCCCTTCTTGGTGCCTGTCACAAACTCAATCTAGAAAGGGAAAGGGAGGAAGGATGAGAGATGTAGGATGCTCTCTGTTTATGTCCTTTTGTAATCCATTTGCTCCCAGGGGACAAGATTTTGGAATTATGGAATAAAGGAGACACTGATAATCAGCTCTGGTTTGACTGGCAATGTTTGACTGGGGGCAGGGAGTGATGTCTAAGGATATCAATAGTTTCAGCCCTAAGGGTTTTTTTTTAAACTAGGTTCAAAAAACTTCCTGGATAGAAGCCAGTTCCCCTCTCTCTATTGTCGTGTATTTGCACAAATCCCAGACTTCCCTCCCACACTGCCCCACCTCACATGCCCAGAACCATTTGGCCAGGCCCCTCCTCCTCACACCCAGGAGGAGGTGGTGCCTGCACAGGGGAAGGACAGCTCCGGTCACCTCCCCAGGCGCTGCAGACACGTCCCTGCAATAAGCCTGAGGTTTGAAGGGGGAGGAGGGAGAGAGAGAGAAGGGAAATTCAATCAAGTGTTAAGAAAGAGAAAATCAGATCATTCCCCAACACCAGTCCCCACATGCCTGGCCCAAAACAGTGCCTGAAGAAGTATACTAACAAGGCCTGGAGCCACAGCTCTTTAGCCCTAGGGATTGGAAGGAGGCCCACTGGGGCTGGAGTCATTACTACTGAGAGCACAGGAGGGGTCAGGCCCAATCAAAGGCAAGAGGGGGTTGATGACCCTCGTTGTCCCTCTCTCTTCCTTCAAGACAAAGTGGCCTCATAGGATATAGTAATCAGGGATAATAATCACTCACTCAGCCCTATATGCCCAACATATAGAGCTGCTGAGGGAGGCTGGTCTCTTAAAACAAGGGATCAACTAACCAGGCTGGGGAGTAGAAAGTAGTACTGAAGTGGGAGAGGTGAGGGCAAATTCTTTAGGCTTAACTAACTGGAGAAGGCTTAAGATTCAGAGGTGGTTGGGATCTAAAACTATGGGAGGGAAACGCTGTAAGGACAAAGCTCACTAGGGACCTGAAAGTAGTACATAAGAAAGAAAGCATAAAAGTATTAAGGTAACAGATGATAGAGAAGGGGAAAAAACAGAGGAAAGGCAGGGCCAAGTATGCAAAGGATGGAAGTTCAGCAAACACTGTTTGGCCTCAGAGAGGGACTAAATTGGCTAACTACATAGTTAGATGATAGAAATGTCTTCTTGGGGGGACAAACAGTATTCCCCAGGCCAAGATCTTGAAGTTGGGGGGAACCTCCTTCCTTAAGCACGAGTACCCGGTACTTCAATTATCCACCTTTTCTATCACCAAGTCTCCATGGTTTTTGTCACTTACTTTTGTTCTCTCCTTTTTGGCTTTTTCTAATTTGTCCATTTCAATCTTCTGTGCTTTGGCTAAAAAACAAAAAACAAAACTGTCAAAAAAGAAACTCTGCCCCTTCCCCATGAGTTGAGCCTACCCTCCTCTGTACCCCCTCCAGAGGTTCATAAAGCAATGGCTTCATCAAAAAGGAGGAAGTCAATCATGATGGCCCCTATATTTCTCATATTCCCTTCTCCATTAGCTAAACAGAAGATTTTCTTCTGTTTGGACACTTTACATTTCTCTTAGAGCAATTCCCCATTTGATAAGAATTACTAGGAAAATATGAAAGCAGTTTGGCAGATTGGTCTAGATGTAGACCAACATGTTATAAAACAGATCAGGTACCTTTCATAACTACTGCTAGGTATAAATTCTTAACCAAACAAGGGTCAGTGGCAATCACGAATAATAAAACAGGTATTAACAAAAATAACAATAAAAAAATAGCACTTGCAAAACACCTTACAAATATTATTTGGTTAATCTTTCCAACAACCCTAAGAGGTATGTACTATATTATCCCCATTTTATGGATAAGGAAACTGAGACAGAGAACAGTTCGTTTGCAATTACTTGAAACTGAAAAGCTTTTGCACCAATGTAATTAACACAAAAAGGGAAGCAATCAAATTGGGAAAAATGTGGCATCAAAAATCTGACAAGTTTGATATCCAAGACATATAGAGAATCTAAGTAGACTAAAAGTGATACCCCAGTGGATGAGAGGTCAAAGAATATGAATAGTTATCAAAAGAAGAATTACAAACTATTGGAACCATATGAAAGATTGCTCCGAATCACAAATAACAAGAAAAATGAAAACCAAAACAATTTTGAGGGGCAGCTAGGTCACCGAGTGGATAGAGCACCGGCCCCTGAAGTCAGGAGGACCTGAGTTCCAATCTGGCCTCAGACCAAACACTTGACACTTACTAGCTGTGTGACCCTGGGCAAGTCACTTAACCCCAATTGCCTTAAAAAAAGAAAAAGAAAAAAAAAACAATTTTGAGGTTTCACCTCATACCTAGCAAACTGGCAAAGATGAGAAAAGACTGGAATGGTCAATTGCTGGAGGACCATAGGAAGCCAGACACACTAACTTGTTCAGGATCACACTATTGTTGAAACTGTGAAATGCTCCAACTATTCTGGAGAACAACACGGAATCATGCTAAGAAAGGGGAGGGAGGAAGGCGCCTACTACGTACTGCGCTAAGCACTTCACAAATTATCTCATTTGATCCTTACAACAACCCTGTGGTAGGGGTGTAGGTGCTATTATAATCCCTATTTTATAGCTGAGCAAACTAAGGTACACAGAGGTTATATGACCTGCCCAAGGCCGCAGAGCTAGTTAAGGGTCTGAGGCCACATTTGAACTCAGGTCTTCCTGACTCCAAGTCCAGTGTTTTTTATCCACTGTGACACCTAGATAACACCCAGCTGCCTGTGACTAAAATATCTATAGCCTTCGAACTTAAAGATCTTACTGCCAGGATACCTCATATACTCCAATGGGGTCAAGGATAAAAAAGAAAGGTCCCCTAAGTTTTCCCCAGTCCCCCAAATACATCCCCGGAAAATACCTAGAGCCTCATAGTAGGAATCCTCAGACCATCCATGGGGGTCAAACATGTCCTGAAAAAGAGAGAGTCACACTTCTAATCAGTCAGATTTCATGCTAACATGCTTTTGACCAGGGGCGTGAAGCGCATCAGACTTAAAATCCTCTCTTGTACCCCTTATGAGCCTCTTGGCTTTTGGATGAGCATTGGAATTCAGCAGTCAACTCATGACTGTCAGTATAATTCCCTATGTGACATGATCTCTTATGGACAGGATCCTTTATGAACCTAAGCCTGGATTTTTATTGTTCTGTCGTTTTTTCAGCTATATCCAACTCTTTGTGATCTCATTTGGGGTTTTCTGGGTAAAGATACAGGAGGGGTTTACTATTTCTTTCTTCAGTTTATCTTACAGATAAGTAAACTGAGGCAAACAGGGTGAAGTGACTTGCCCAGGGTCACACAGTTACTGTCAGGGGCCATATCTGAACTCAGGAAGATGAGTCTTCCTTACGCCAGGCCTGGCACTCTATCCAGTGAGCCACTCAGCTGCCCCTAAGCCTAGTTAGTCTGCTGTCATGAAAAAGGATATTCTCAGCTCTGACATAACCGGTGCTATGGTGGCTATTCAGGTGGAATCTTTATCTTTTGAAAGTCAAATCTTTAGGTTTGGGTAGTTTACGTGGGCAGTGAGAAGTAAGGGCTTTGTCTGGCCTGGGATGGAATACATCTTTAAGGAGGAGCTCTCTATGCTGCAGCAACATTATATTCGCAGAGCTTTGCCTCTTACCTTGGGATAATTGGTGCCAAGCTCATCGATTGAACAGTACTGGATAAGCTTCTCATAGATGCTGAAACAAAGATTCCACAGAAAATTTATCTGAGTACCCAGCATGATAAGTAAAACCCCAACAGGTCACTCAGAACCAACCTCTTCTAATTCCTGAGCTGTTCTGATACCAGCTCAGCAAGACCCAACCAATATGATCTTAGAAAGCTTTCTAAAGAAAAATTTCAACCACAAAACCCACCAATCTGAAAAGTCACCTCTGGTCCTTTCTAGTCATCCCAATGTTATGATAGGGATGAGACTATTGACTGGAAGTGGGAGTAGGCAGTCTAAACAAGTCTAGTATCAAGTCGGTAGGTTATACTTTCATGTTTTAATCATATGTCTCTGGCCTCCAATCTGAGTGACTGGGTTACTGTCGCTGTACACTCAAAGGCAGATCTTGATGTTACCACATCGTGTTCCATCGTAGGTGTTATTTACACAACCGACTGGATAGAAGCAAGGCCCAGGCACATCTCTGATCCAAAAAAGCATTACCCATTCACCTGTTCACTTAATCACTGTACCTTAAGAGCCAGAAGAGACCTCAGAGAAGAGCTAGTTCAACCAACCTCATTTTATAGATGGGGAAACAGGCCTAAAGAGGGGCAATGAGGTTCAAGGCCACAATGCTAAGTTGTAATAGAACCAGGACCAGAAGCCAGGTTTCCTGACCCTGGTCCAATGTTTTTTGTTTTTCTTTTTTGCTGTCAACATACAAGCTTTTGATTAGTAGTACAGTAAGATTTTTGATTGTAAATCCTTAGAGGATACTAGTTGTATCAATGCACTCCGTAGGCTTCCTAATGAAGTATCACACGCATTTTGGTGCTTAACATTAAGACTGGTAACGGTGACTGATTTGGTGTTAAGCTGGGATTTCAGCTGGGCTGCTTACAGTTTCTCCACCATTAACTGGATCATATAAGCCATCTTGATGCACCCCCTTCCTAGGACAGAAGCAAAAATTTAAATTGATTCTCTGGGCACCAGGGAAGCTTACCTGGGATTCCGAAATTCCTTCTTCCTCTGGATAATGTAGTTCATATCCATCCCTTCCTTTATCTTCCTCTCATATAATTTCTGTATCTTGTCCTACAGAAAGGGTACAAAAACCTGTCATGACATATAATTCCACCATTTCAATTATGCTTATGATCAAGGAGGCAGAGGGAGGAAAAGCCAAATAAACAAAATTCCTAGAAGCATCTAAAAAAATTTTACTTAAGTCATAGTTTTAACTTATATCCCACTAAACCTTTTGTCAGAGGTTCTTGCAAGAAAGAAGACAGATTAGTTTGATTGTATCTTCTTTTAATTTTTCCAGATGGCCTTCTACTACAAGTGCTAAGAGCACTGAAATGGTCAAAGCCAGAAAAACTATTGGGAAGGAGGCCTGGAGGACCTGCAAATTGGTTAATCACTTCCTGAATTACTCATAAAACACCAAAGCTTTTCTGTAAAGATAAAATCCAGGTCTTAATCGAAATAACAGGACTAAGCCCTCACTGAACGGCTGAAGTATGACCTGCAGATGCCTGAAAGGGCCCAAACACTTCCCACTGGAGGAGCGTGCCTACAGCATTTAGTTTGGGCTCCAGACACTTCTAAAGTGGCTTGCTGGAGGGTTCTCAGGGGTGGCACATAACCTCTCAGAAAAGGGTCATGTACTCATCTCTCATCAAGACTTTCCTACACTACACTGGCTGGGGCCCTTGTGAGAGTAATGAAAGGACAACATGGCAGGGAGCCCAGCTGGCACGCTGCTATCATCTGCAATGTTTTCTCTGGGGGAAGCATACCCAGCACATACCCATGCACACTACATTATCAGCCAATGTATCAGTCTTGTCCAGTGCCAGGAGAGAGTTCCTAGGAAATCTGATTCTGGGGTGGGGGACAAGGGGTACAGAAACCTACTAAACTTCAAAATGTAAAGTCCGCATTGCCCCATGGAGAAACCAAACGCAGCTAAATCCTGATTAGTATGAATAAGGAATCCCCTGAAGTGGCTGCGTGCATTCAAATTCCTAATATTCCAAGTTATAATTGTGTAATGTATGGTGACTGGTTCCAGTCCAGTGGAAATAACTTTACACAGCTTCTAGAGGAAGAAACACTTGAGTCAGTTATCACCTCTCAGAAAGAAGAAGCAGTGAGTAAGGATAAAGATAACTGATCAAGTAAGAGTCCATTCGGGGACAGGACAGCAGTGTCTTCATGTTCCATTCTTTTTGGAGATTTCTGGAACTGAGGCAGCATTAGGGGGGGCAAAGAGAAGTCTATTATGGTATCAGCAGGGAGAGAAGCTAAGAGTGATGAACTGCTTTCTAAACCCACTTCCTTAAAAAAAAAAATCTACTTTTTGAGAGTCGATTTCTCCTCAAAGAGAAGCCTCTACTGTCTGATCAAAGGCAAACCTATTCCCCACAGAGGACATCTCTGTCTTGGGTCACTGGAATTATGCCAGTTCATCTGAAATAAAATGTTCTCAGGGCCACTGACTTTACTGTTAAGACAGTCTAGAAAGAAAAAATGAAATTACTGTCTAGAAGAGTCAAGCTCCTTGGCGCTCTCTCTGCCCGACAGATTGCTGGAGTTGCTAACTACATGCTGTAGCTTGCCTGGCTTGCGGGGATAGGGAGCCTCCATCCTGTGGGATGGTAGGTGGAAAGCCTACTCAGCATGGGGTGGGGACTTCAGGGAAAGGAAAAAAACCCCCCTGTTTTCTGAGTACCCAGCCCTGCCAGAGGCCCCTCACATCAGCCTGCTGCATTCCTCAGTCCCAGACCCCATAAGTCACCCTTTGTCAGGAAAACAGCATACGCTTTCAGTGCCTAGTGGAAACTATGAATTAAAGCCCACCTTTGGCTCTAGGGCTAGCCACTAATTTGCTCTGGTTTACTTATCATAAGATCATAGAGGAGAGCTGGAGGGGACCTTACAGGCCATCAAGTCCAGCCCCCTCATTTCTAAGATGAAGAAACTGTGCAAAGAGATCACTCAATGAGTGAGCATCTAAGGAGAAAATTTGAACCCAGGTTTTAACAATCCCTTTCCTTCTGTCAGAGCTACTCAAGAGGGGGAGGCAGGGAAAAGAGGAAGAGTCCTGATGACACAGCCTTTCTTTTGTTACATAAGGAGGGAGGGAGGGGAGGGAGGAGAGGGAGAGAGAGAGAGAGAGAGAGAGAGAGAGAGAGAGAGAGAGAGAGAGAGAGAGTGAGTGTGTGAGTGAGTGTGTGTGTGTGTGTGTGTGTAACCAAATCTCGCTCCTACCTGGAGGTGATTTGAGCATCTGCCAGGTGGCTCTGGGGGGATTTTAATCTCATCAGGAGACATGTTCCTAACTCTCTCAGAGAAGGAGGCTATGGAGAAAACAGAGAAGCAACATCACAGTCTGACTCCTTGCTCCTAAAGGTAGCATTCAAATGCCTAGAAGGATACTGGAAGGTGAAACTCCTCTATACCATATATCATCACCACAGCCCAGGCCAGTTTTCCAGGGCACTTGCATATGTCAAAGTGAGTTTCAACAAACAAACAAACAAACAAAAAATACTTGATGCCAGAGTTCCTACTTCATCTTCTAGAAAACAAAAAGTTTGACCATAGTAGGGAAGAACTATAGACCAAAAATGACTAATTCTCCCCAGGGGCTGTAAGCTCCCCCTCAGCCCTCCACAGCCATTAAACACTGCAGTGACTTCAGTCCTGCTCTGAATGCCTTGGACAATGGGGCACTTGTAGCAGGAATCTGTCCATGTTGTTCAAAAACAACCTCCCATGAAAAGGATCATACACTGTGCAAATAAGAGGCAGGGTGGAGTGGGATTAGAAGGAAGGGCAAACCAGGATCCTGTTATTTGTTTTTAGGGTATTTGAGGAGACCCCCACATTTAGAGCAAGAACACATCTGTGATGGTGGTGGTGGTGGTGGTGGTGGGGCAGCTGGACTACCTGCCTATTGCTAGCCTTGAACCAAACACCAGGGTTTAGGTTGCTCCTCTGGCCCCCAGGTTAGGTTAATATTTTCTTAGGAGATAAAATGCTTTGATCTCTCTACTTACTAAAGAACATATTGTTAATTAAGCTCATGAATCTGGAGTTTGGGCCTTCTATATTTTAGTTCCAACCTACCTTTCTAGATCACATTACTTCCTTTCATTTACTATAGCCAGGTTGAACTAGCTGTAACCAAACCCTACATTCCATATTGTGAGCCGCGCCATTTGCACAAGCCACCCCCCTGGTGACAATGAGCTTCTCTTCTCATCTCTGTGTCTCAAAATTCTTATTTTTTCTTCGAGGCTCAGAGCCACCTCCTCCCAGATGTTAGTGATATTTCCCACATGAGGGACCTTGTGTTTACTTATCTGTACACATACTGTAATCCCCCTAGGAGAAAGTAATCCCCCTAAAGGCAGAAACTTTTTTGATTCTGACTCTATTTCTAGCATGAAGCATCACACCTTATACATACTGATGGTTTTGCTGAACTGAAACAAATCTGAGACTTAAAAAAAAATCACTATGAATAGAACTCAGAGAAAGGGCACAGTCAAACTTACCTAAGCTGCTGGCTGTTAATAACGAATGATGTACTAAAATAAATTCAATGCAAGAGTCACATTCTGCCAAACAGTGAAACAGGGGCTATAAAACCACTCTATGTGACTCAATTTTCATGGTCATCAGTTACAGCCACTAAACACCCTTCAAGAACGGGATAACTCAATAGTCACAGTACAGTCTCTGACCAGAAGCTTATTCTCTATTCATCCAACATACAGATCAGGAAGATTCTGATGTTGTGGTGGTTTTTAGATATTAACGTGACTATACGCTAAGTGCACAGGGTTGGGACCTCCCTTTTTCCTCCTCCTCTGCACTGTTCTTTCTCTCTCTCTCTCTTAAGTAGGCAAAACGGGATGACAGTAATGGCACTTAGCAACATGGGAAGGATTCTGAAATTCTTCCCTCTTTTCTCTCCACTTAAGACCATGAGGGACTGTATACAACAGGTTTAGTGGACATTGCTCTGGGCTATTCCATTGGGTAAGGGGCTAGGAAGTTGGGAGAAAAGACTGGGAAGCCCAAATCTCTCTCTCTCTCTCTCTCTCTCCAGATTCTAAAGGCCACTAGTTTCTTAGCTGGCTCTCACTCTGCATTCCCCTGCCCACAATGTCAACCACTGTGTCTCTATAATGTTGTTTTCTATCAACAGAATCTAGGGTTTGGTGAACACTGGCCTTTATAGGGATCTGAATAAAGCAGAACTTTTGTAGCAGGGATGAACAAAAATTAGGGCTAGGCAGAAACACAGAACCCTTTCTGAAATGTCTTCTCTAACTTCGTGGGTCTAAGCTATTCAAAATTCCTAACTACATCTTTATTGAATCCCATCCCTAGACCTTTCTCTCTCTTCTCCCTCCCCCCCCTTTCCCATTTTTCTTCCTCTTCTTCTTAGTCTCTCTCTCTCCGTTCTTGTCAGGTCAGAATTTGTAGAGGGCTTTGTTTCAAGAGAAAAGAGATTTAGATCTCACATAGAGTCCAAATAGCAAAGTTGGTTTGATTAAATCCTTGATTTTGAAGTTAGGCTCAAAATGAATTAACTAGGAACCCATGATCAGAATACACACAATAACACAGCGATTCTGTTGGGAGTGAGAGTTTGCTTTTATATAGACTAATAAGACAGGTGACATATTCAGAAGCCAGTAATGGTTAATAAGTAGGTAGGAGCAGTATTTCCCTTCCATGTGGCTAGGCTAGGATTTTTTTCCCTCTCAGAAGGCCAATTATCTTGAAAAGTGATCAGTCTAGAAGCCTAAGGGAGTAAAAGCATCATACCCACAAGGAGTCAGTGCCCCTCAGATATGCTGGATGTCATGCATGTCCACCACACCCTGCTGACCAGATAGATGCACTTCTGCACGGGCATGCATACACCTGAACCAGTGTTATATCTTTTCTGAGTATCTTTTCCATGCTAGGCCTAAGTATACCTTCTTTTGTTAACTGTAATCCACAAGTGCTTCATTTAATTCCAAACTTGAACCTGAACACGCCAGCCTACGACATTTTGGTGAAGGCAGGAATGGAGCAAACTATCATCATGGCTACAGTGGGGAAAGGATTATGTACACGTAGAGAATGGGTTGACTAGATGGCCAGATACGGCCATGTGGAACCTGGTGGCAAGCATCCTTTTGGTGGCACATGGACAGTCCTCCAATGGGACAGAAAGAAGGCTCCCAATGACCTAAAGCAATCAGCTCAGTGGATGCTAAGGAGGCTGATATGGAGGATAAAGAAAATATCAGGCTGAACATTCCCTTGTTATTGTTAACAGTCTTAGAGAAGCTGGATTTCTGGCACAAGGAAAATTAAAGTAAATTGGCCCAATGCATTCAGCAACTAGAGACAGAGAACTTCTTTTTTTGTGCGTGTGTGAGGCAACTGGGGTTAAGTGGCTTGCCTAGGGTCACACAGCTAGTAACTGTCAAGTATCTGGTCTGAGACCAGATCTGAACTCAGGTCCTCTTGATTCCAGCGCCAGTGCTAGAGAACTTGTTTTTTAAGGCTGTGTTTTGAAGGCATAAGGGCAGCTGATGAAACTGATTAAGTGAAAGGAAGGTAGGGACCGCGAGAGACTGTGGACAGAAAGTAAGGTCTATGACACACAGGTTCCACTGGAAAATTTGTCCCAGTGAAATCAGGGCTATAAGAGAATGGGAAAAGAAATAAAGGTGAGAACTGGGAATCTGCCCCTGCAGTAAGACAGCCTTGGGATTTCTTTATTGTTACATCTATTGTTGTGTGTTACGGTTTGTCCTTCATTTTCAAAGTGGACCATGACATTAGGAATGATGCCATGACTTGCAAGTGAATTGGATTTAAGTGAGGGAGGGCTACGCAAAGTCACCAGCCTCACTCTCCTCCAGATGCTTCTGGGTCCAGTGGCAAGATATAGATGAGGATGACTGGAGATGGCTGAGGGCTACCTTTATAGGGGAGGCTGAAGAGTAGGTGTTCTTTTACCACCAAAGAACTGGGGACGCTGCAGAAGAATTTAAAACAATAACCTGAAGTGTTACTGGAATAAGGGTTGCTGAGGCTATGGTCCAGTGGAGCCAATTTGAAGACCCTCTCTGTGTCAAAGTTCCATGGCTTGGGGCTACAGCAATTATTTCTGTCCAACAGGGCTTTTCATGCCAACTATAGAGCACCTATCTATCCTGAATGGTCCTCAACCTATCCTCAACTGGCAAAATGGCCCTCATCCCCCATCTCAGAGGAAGAGGTTCAGCCCTCTTGAACAATAACTTTGTCATCATGTCCACCAATACCAAGTGTCTCACCTCCCAGAAGCTATGTCTTCTATGAAGCAATGCCACCTTAGGAAGGGGTAGGGCTCTTCGGTGCTGTAATTTATCAGATTCAGACTCCAGAAAGACCTACCTGATAAAGATGGACTACTTTTGAACATAGTTCTGAATGACCTTCTTCGACTCTTCCTTATTTCACTGCAAATGCAGTTATCAAATGCAAATGCAGTTTTTCTGGACTGAGAGTCCCATACACCATGGAGAAATAGCTCAGTTATCACTCAAGTGGCAGATCTTTTTCCCTCCAGGATGGTTAGGACCCACTCCTTCCCAGAATGGGTTCGGGAGACCAAGGAGTGATAATGTTGGGAGGAGACATGGGAAAGGCAAAACGATGCCAACTATGGCATATGTGTATTTCCATGGAAGAAAGGAGAACCCCTAGCTGACTTGGTGGCCATCCCAAGTTCCTGGATAAAGGCAAGAGGCTCTAATGCCCCTGTAAAAGAAGGAGGTAGCCACTTGGCAGAGGCTTCTTTATTTTTATTTTTGCAAGGCAATTGGGATTCAGTGACTTGCCCAGGGTCACACAGCTAGCAAGTGTCAAGTATCTGGTCTGAGACTGGATTTGAACTCAGGTCCTCCTGACTCCAGGGAGGTGCTCCATCCACTGTGCCACCTAGCTGCCCCTTTGGCAAAGGCTTCTAAAAAGGCACCACCATCCCTTCCTTCAACCAGTCCCAACCCCACACTAAGGGAGGAGGATTTCCTGGTTGGTGAGCTGGGGAATACTGACAGGGTGGTACAGGGAAAGTTTCCTTTATCAGCAATGGCACCAAGACAAGTGGAATGCAAAAGGGTTTTTGGTCACTCTGACCTATGATGAGAAATGTCATCATCGTATGTGCTATAACTCTGATGTTCCTGGTGCTGCTCTTGTTAACTGTCACAACTCGACACTGGGACCCACTGTGAACAACGATGGCCTAGCATCAAATTTACAACTTGGCCCTTCTCAAGGGCAGAGGGAAGGCCTGGAATTTCTGGCCTTCACTCCCCCCGCTTCGTTCATTCCTTCAGTGAACTGCTTTTTGTTGTTGTTCTTTTTAAAACTGGAACTAATTTCCTCTTCCAATGCTATTTACACTAGGTTTCTTGTGTTTCTGAGATTAGGGCTTTCAAGTGATAGCTCTCAAAAGCATTTAAGAGGCAGAAGGTCCTTGAAAGACTGTTAGCAGCTCACCACAGAGGGATGGGATGTGGTAGGAGCAAAACACACACCTACCCCCCCCCCCACATCTTAACCTTAAACCTCTCTCTCTCTCTCAATTAGTCTATTTTTTTCTTTTTTTTCCCTAAAAGGAAAGGAAGCTGTTCTCACGACTTGATCTAAAGGCCCAAGGTTCAAACCACTAGTGTGGCTTTCCAGTCATATAAGAATACAAAAGAAACTAGTTCACAAGGAGTCAGTGCATCCCTGTAACTTAGCAGATGACCCAATACTGTAAAAGTTACCATATCGCCACACTCTGCTGACCAGATGTGTTTTTGTATGGTGATGATGAGGTGGGCTTTCTCTACCTGAACCAGTGCTATACTTTTGCTGACTATCCTTTGCATAGTATGGCTGGGTAAATGTCCTTTTGTTAACTGGTAGATGGTCTACAAGTGCCTCATTTAGTTCTAACCTCCAACCTGACCTACCAGACTTGCCTGAGTAGAGCTGGCCTATGACACAGTAGTTCCAAGGTAGGTTTTGATGGAACACCAGCATCTTCCTCTGTAGAAAGATGTATTCATACCTGGGAAAACCTGTATTTAGTATAGCTCTTGGAAGGCTCACTGGTGTCTTAGGATTTTCAAAAGTCTAAGAATCCAAATGCTCAGGACATGGACTAGACTGTGTGGGCCCTAGTACACTCCTACATATTTGACTCTGGTCCTCTGGACACACAGTAGCATGTTTTCTTCACTCACAATGGGGTTCCTGACTCTAAGGCATTTTCCTCTTTTAGTGGTATAGCTGGTGCAAGAGGCCACATGCTTACCCTTTGAACAATTTCTATTACATAAGGCTAGAGAAGAGGGGAAAGGCAATGAGAAGGGTCTAAGACAAGGGTTTTGGCCCAAGACACAAGGGAAATTGAAGCAAAGAGGAAGAAAAATCTTTTAGTTAAATGGGGCTCTGATCCCCCTCCTGACAGAACTGGCAACTAACCAAAGGCTGACAAACTGTTCCATGAATACAACATGAGAATTGTTCCCTTCACGTCTCACACATGCTATAAAATTCCAAGTGGAAGGAGACCATTAAGAGGCTGAATACAAAACTTGTCTCAAAGTAGCTGCTTAAGACAGAGTAAGAAATACTTGTATCAAGCAGAGGTTTACCCTAAATGTCTAAAACCTAGCTTATTTCTTCTCTACACTGTTCTCTGCTCATCCCCCAATATAAAATTCCTTATACCCCAGAATGTATATAATAGAAACACATACCAACCAGCTCTTGGGGATCTCGCTTTTCCAGTTCTGAAAACTCCTGCAAGAGAGAAACAAAAACAAAGGAAGATAAGATTTGGGGCTGACATTTCCTCTTAATAGCTATATTAGTGTTCACTGCTATAGCACAATACTTTCCAAGGGAGGAAAGACAGTGAGAAATACTACATGGAACACTTACAGTGAAAAACCAAGCTGCCTGGTGTGTCAAGGCTCATGCCCTAACAACTATTCCAGTGCTCCTTCTCCTTCACCACCTACGTTTGGATGACAAACTACTGCTCTGGCCTGTTTAACATCATGCTTCCAGCAATGACAGATCAAAACTAGAGTCAAGAAGAAACAACTCATGACCAATGAAACCAATTTCACTCTCACCAGTTTTTTCTTCCCTCGGGCTCTTGGGGTGGCCTGCCTGGACTTTTACCACCCTGTACAAGGCACGTCACATCACGGAAGTTGGAACCTGGTAGGCCTGCTCAAGACCACCATTATAGTTACTATAGGCATTAGGACATTGGGAAGACAAAAATAAACAATTTTGTACCAAGAAAAAAGCCACACAACTAAAAATGAAAACGAAACAAAACTGCTCCCAAAAGGTTGCTGTTTTTATTTTTTAAACAAAATATTTTGTGACCTCACTTTTCCACTTTACTGTATCAAGGTAATTTCTTTACCCCTAAGACGTTTTGAAAGAGAAGAGCACAGTCCAAGCCCTAAGCTATATCATCAAGTCCTGGCATGTTTCTGATGGTGAACAGTCCATCCTGGAAGCAAGTACTTTTCTTTATTGGCACGTTTCCTCATCTGCAAGATGGAGAGCACAAACCCAATCTGCACATAACTGGGCTGTCGCACTGCACATCCACTTAAGAGACAATGACTGCAGGGATACAAAGTATGCCCCAAAATGCTAACTTGTTAGAATGGTGGAAACTGAGCCCAAAGAAAATTACCGACAATCTTCCCTTTTCTTCCCTTCCTCTTGTTGGGAGAGAGCTGTGATATGAAGGGAGTTATACAAGAGCTATGGAGATGAGGCCTTTAAGAGGAATCTGTAGTATATCCAAGGAGAGATCAATTAGATTCCAGCTTGGTGGAGTAGCAGTATGTCAACACGTGTTTTGAATTTCTGTCAGGCCACCAAAATCCTTCCCCAAACCATGGTACTATGTTATAGAGACAGCACCATCTGTATCTTACTGCCTTCCTCAAACCCCTCCTCAGAATTCTAAGACAGTCCAAAATGTCCTAGGTCCTCAGAACACTGCTGCTATTCATCCAACCTGAAAAGGACACAATCCTCATGCCCGGCTGCTTAGCAACAAGACCCTTGCAGCTATATTCCCACTGCTAGTCAGGTGGGCAAATAAAGAACTCTTACTGGGCTGAGATAGGGAAGGGCTGGAAAGCTGCTGTGCCAAGTTCAGACTGGCATCATAAACCAGCTGCTTCACCAAATGCACCAGTCTCTCTGGGGACCCAACAACAATCTCTTTGTACCAGAGAATGATGAAGTTAATGCTGAATGGCCAGTTGGGAGGGAATGATATGGCTAAGAGACTTTCTTATAAATTGTTCTGGAAGACAGTTTTCTTCGTGTTAAATGTGGGAAAACACCAGTTAAGTGTATTGCCCTGTATTCATATTCTCTCCTTAGTCAGCTATTTGGGAACAGGCCTTGTCCTGGTAAGACAACCACAGGACAGATCAGCCAACTGCAACTTCCTAAATAGCTCCTACCCTCATCTTTTCCAAGGCATCTCACAGGATGAACTTAAAAGGGCAACCACAAAAGTAAAATACCTTAGGCAAGGTATCAAAACTGGAATTTTAAAAAATGCTTATCTACCCTAGAATCACAGGTTACTCAGTATTACTGACATTTATTGAGCCTTTAAGATTTAAAAAGTACATTATATACATTATCTAATTTGCTCCTCAAAATATTCTTGGATTATTATTCCCATTTTACAAAGAAAATGAATCCATGAGAGATTACATAACTAGTCTTACAGCTAGTATCTGAGGCAAAGCTCACTCAGGTCTAACCTGACTCCTAAGTCCATTACACCACTGTCCCCCTCTGTACACAGAACATCTCCTCAGAGGACAGAAGCTTCTTTTCAGCAGGAACAGTGGCCAATTCAGCCAATCTGCAAATTTTGTCAGGGTTGCTACTTTAAGAGCTGTTTACTTCTGTGAATCTTTTGTCTGGAGACAGAAAGGGAGGTACTACCTTTTGATTTCTCAAAACTTCTGAACCTGACAGTTCCTCCTCTCAAGGAGCTCACATTCTAATTGTTTAAGCACTCTATTTCATGTCATGAACATGCTGGGGCCTGTTAGACTCCGGAGAAATAGTTTGTACATCTTATAACTTGGGGGCCATTTCTACAACCTGTAAGATTACTGAGCTGGGCTGCCTTTCCTACTTTGCTTCCAATTACTATACCTGAGTATAGGGAAGTCCAGAATAAACAGTACCACAAGCTGAACAATCTAATTATGTGGAATCCATTATATCAGCCTCTGTGGTTCCATTCTCCTGGGACTGGATTTATCCTCAAAATACTTATCACTAAGATACAGGCACAAGTTTTCCTGGTACCTAAGGAGCCAACTCTGTTAGGATCTTGTGCCAGATCCTGCCCCAAGGACACCAAATCATAACATGTCTTAGGAAAACTCCACATACATCAATGGATTGATTGTACACTGTAGTGAATGGCTCTGTGTGTGTGTGTGTGTGTGTGTGTGTGTGTGTACAAATAACCTGTTTCTAAAATAGAGGTGGTTCTGTGACTTCAAAATAGAGCTGCAAAATGAGGCGGAGGTGCTTTCACACCCACTTCCATTCAAACGTCCAAAAATGACAAAGAGCTGTTCTCACCAAGGCAAGGGAAGCCTCTTTCAATGAGAATGGCTTCTGTTTAGACTTTTTATTATGGTTCTCAAAAACCAGCCACAAGTATGACTTTGGGGGGAGGAGATACAGAAGAGCAGGAAGTGTAAGACAGAAACCATGCAATAAAGTACATTTGGAATCTCTAGGAATTTTTTTTTTAATTTATCTCTAGGAATTTAAAAGAAATTAAATGTCAGCCTAACTCTTGTACTCTCTAGTCTCTGGTACCAGAATTTAATCCCAAAATAAGTACCTATAAGAGTCCTCTTGGAAGTAAGAATGCCACCATTTTAACTTCCTGCATAAATTCAAATTCTTGACATATTTCATTAGCAAAAGTAGTTGGATTCACATAACTTATTATCAAGAAAGATTTTCACTCTTTTGTTAAAGAAACAGGTAAAGGAGAACAAAGATGCATAGAGAAGTTGGTATGTCATCACTCTGGCCTTTTCTTCTCCACCCTCACCCCTGAGCAATCTTTTGGAATGCACTGTATATGACTGTCTCAACTTGTACAAATCTCTCTGCTTCCAGGTGGATATAATCTGTTGGTCAAAGTAATGAACCAAGTCCTCTAGTCACCAGACAACTGTCTACACAAAGGTCTGTGTCAGCTGTGAGGAATGGAATCCAAAGCATAAAGACACTAAATTGTTATTTATAAGAAATGTCTGTGCCCTTCAGACATGAAAGTTCAAGAATACGTTGCACCATTTGTTAGGGAGACTTGAAACAAGGTTGTCAGGCTGCAAAAGGAAACAAACCTTGCAGAATGTTGGGGGGGGAAAAGGGCATGTTTTATTGGTGTTCTTTGTCTTTACATCAATCATTTCTTCCCTGCCTCACTCAAGGCTGAACTCTCCCCAGTGACAAAGAAAAATAAGCATAATTGCTGAATACAATGACCCCCCACCTCCCTGCCTTGAGGGAAAAGGTGTGCATCACCCTGTTCTCCAGGTCCCTCCTCGGTTTCTCAGTCATTCAGCATTAACTTCCACTGTGCTATTGTCCTTGGGCTCCACTGTTCTCTTGGTTCTGCTTATTTCACTTTCCACCAGGTCATACAAATCTTCCCAAGTCATGGGATTCCTTATATCTGTCATTTCTTGTGGCAGAATATTCCAATATACTGAGTTTCTTCAGTCCTTCCTCAATTAACAGGCAGCCATTTTGTTTCCATTCTTTAAGTGCTGTCATAAGAATTCTGGAGTATACTGGATCTTTGTTTCTATGGTGTGTCCTTGGCCCAGGAGTGGGTGCTAAGGTCAAAGGGCCTGGACAGGAGTCCCTTCTCTCTGGGTTCTACACTGACAGCCTCATATGGTTAGACTGCTTTATGGCTCCTCTGGGAGTCAGTGGATCAAGGCCCCTCTTCCCATAGGCCACCCAAAACTCATGTTTGAAACCTGAGTTAAATTCAGCCTTAGTCACTTACTAGCTCTGTGACCCTGGGCAAGTCATTTAACCTTTGTCTGCCTCAGTTGCCTCATCTGTAAAATTGGGATAACAATAGATACCTATCTCCCAAGGTGGTTGTGAGAATCAAATGAGATCACATATGCATGGTGCTTTACAAACAAGTACTATGTAAATGCTAATTATTATAACTCCTAGATGAGGAAACCTTTTTTTTTACCAATGCAAATCAGAACCTCCTCAGCAACATAATTACAGTCTCACAAAGAGGTTAAATGACTTTCCCAGGGACATACAGCCAATATGTGTCATAAGTAATTTGATTAGTACAGAACCAAATGTATTTATACATTTGGGTCATATTGTGTGGTTTTTGTTATGTTGACATGTCCCAACCAAGAATAGTGATTAGCTTTCCAATTCCTTAAGTCTCCTATTTATATAAGGAAATATTTTGTGGTTGTGTTATTCTTTTGTGTGTGTGTGTGTGTGTGTGTGTGTGTGTGTGTGTGTGTGTTTATTTTTTCTTTTTTAGGCAATTGGGGTTAAGTGACTTGCCCAGGGTCACACAGCTAGTAAGTGTCAAGTGTTTGGTCTGAGGCCAGATTTGAACTCAGGTCCTCCTGACTTCAGGGCCGGTGCTCTATCCTCTGCGCCACCTAGCTGCCCCTTGGTTGTGTTACTCTTGCATAAAATATCTAAATACTAAA